GCCGTTCCCGGGCACATGTGGCACCGTCATAACGTCTCCTGGTCCTTGATTACGGTCCAGTCAATGACGGTTGGGTCTAGCATTGTTCGGGCACGTAGGCCCATCAACGCGGGATGTCTCGCAGGAGATATTTTGACACTCTCCCTCCTAACTCCCGGCCCACCGTTTTGGGGCAGTCTCGCTGGATTCGGGATTGCAGTGATTGGACCGTAATCCCTTGCCGCCCACCCTAGGTCAAGAGAAGTAGGGATGACCGAGGTCATATTAANCCTTGCCGCCCACCCTAGGTCAAGAGAAGTAGGGATGACCGAGGTCATATTAAGCATGACTCCGGTCCTCTAGCGTCAGAACAGAACAGAAAGATAGAATAGATAGAATAGACAGATAGACAGCAGAAGAGTACAGAACATTCTCAGAGCTTCAGAATAGACAGACTCACAGATAGACTAACATCAGAAGACCTTCAGACAGAACAGATAGAGAGATCGCGTAACGTTTAGGTTGCGCGTTACAAATATAGTCCCACTACAGTGGGTGGTCCTTCGAGGTAGTCGGCACCAAGTGCAATATTCAGAGGATCTCCGTCATCCATCTGATGAGTCCTCAACAGTCATCGTCGTTAAAATTTTTACCACGAAGGGAGTTGTCCAGGGATCGAAATAAGTAGTAATCCGGTGGCGCGAGATCAGAGCTATATGGTTGGTGTGACATCAATTCCCAACCAATATCCATCAATTTTTGCCGCGTGGACAATGACGTGTGCGGCCTAGCATTCTCGTGCTGGAAAATGACACCTTTACGATTGACCAATTCTGGTCGCTTTTCCTTGACCGCTGCATTCAATTTGTCCAGTTGCTAACGTTCACGGATAATAAAAAATAACATAATAATAATAATAATAATTTTATAATATAACATTTACGGATATCATAAAAATGGGAGTGAGAGACATCTATAACTGAAATCGGCGATTACTTAGTTGCCAACCCAATAGATCCTTCGTTGGGCCGGACGACATTTACAGTCTCGTTGGTCTTCGAGTCGCGGTGATTACCCGAAAGTCGTCACTTCTTCGAATAAAGGAACGCGTTCTTCTTCAGAGGCAGTTCAATTCTCATGGGACAATTGTTTCGACAGGACATAAACATATCGTCGAATACTTTATCAGCATGTCGCATTTGGTAAGCCGGAAGGAATGCATCGACGCGCTGGAGCTTCTGGGTGCTACCTACATGGACAAAAACAGGGACATGGTAGGCGCTAAGGAACTCTGGAAACGAGCGATGGTCGAAAGGTTCGTAACAACCTTACATTTTTTGCGCTGCAGTTGGATTTTAACCAGTTAGCTGTGGCGCCTCCTTTTCAGAGCGCGCACCTATGTGTGTCGCGAGAATCAAGCGACGACGAGTATACTCGTCGAACTCAGAGTAAGTGTCGCTATTAAAATATTGGATCAAAAAGACGGTTTTATTTTATAAAATTAACAATTTTATTACTGATATTTACTTGTTCACTTAACGTTAATATATACTACATACATAATAAATGAAAAACGCAGGAAAGATCAAATACTTAGAAAAATTACAAATTCAAATTGCTGTAGAGTGGAATTCAGCAAAGCAAGGAACGATACATAATGGCACTTTGCACGTCGAGCACCAATATCGTGATTCTTTTCTAATCTTATTTTTATAACAATGTAAACACCTTCGCGTAGAATTGACCTCAAAATATTCTAAACGTCTTGAAATTTGAGAATATGTTTATGTTGTCGCTAAAATAACAATTTAAATAGCCGATGGTCACTACTTTTTACGTCATGACACAAAATACTGCCACTTCTTCGTGACGAGTATACTCGTGAAACACAGCTAACTGGTTAAGAATCATGTCGTAACCAGTAATTCCAAAAAGAAGGTGGAATTGGCTGACTTCATTGAATTTCTTGAGAAATCCTTGGCTGTGAATCATAGATTTTGAGAAATCATTAAATAATCGGCAACCTATCGAGAAAGTTTCTATCGATCAAATAACGTTGATCGCGTTTTCCTTAACCGATGGCTTTGATTATCGATTATGGAAGCATCGATACATTTTACTTTCCAGATATTTGCCAGGTCTTCCGCCAATACCGAAACCGACGCCGCAACCCCCAGTTGCAGCTTACAACTTCGTGCGAGAGATCTGCGACTCCGCCGGGCTCGAGGAGCTAACCGATCCGGAGGAAATGTGGATGCAGGCGCTCGTAATCCGTGAACGAATATTAGGATCGGCTCATCCTGACACTCATTATTACATTCGCTACAGAGGAGCGGTTTACGCCGACGGCGGGCAGTTTAACCGATGCATTGAGCTGTGGAATCATGCCTTAGACGTGCAGCAAAGCACATTGGAGCCACTGAATCCCATGACCCAGACTTCGCTTAGCAATTTCACCAATCTTTTCTATTCTATGTTACGCCGACAAACAAGTACGGAGCGTAAGGACCTTGGAACAGAGATTCTCAGAGTGTTTAAAAAAGCTGTAAGTTTATGTTCGAAAATTTTATAGAAGATTCTAACAGTAAACTCAGACTGACGCAGCAAATTTCCAACTTATATATTATATATAAATATATTATATTATATAATATATATAATATAATTAATAATTATATTATAATATAATTATTATATATATATATTATATATATTATATTATATATAAATTTCCAACTTATATTTCCAGCTTATAATAGTCTTCAGCATTTCTAGAACCTTGAAAAGAAAGCCCCGTTTAGAATCAAACTCTCTTTATAGTTCTGTTGGATTTATGCATATACACAACACGATTCGTTACAGGTCTTGGAATTGGAGCTAGGAATGAAAGTGTTGAACAAAGTTTGCGAAGACAACTTACATTTTACGAAGCTTCTCATGATCGCTTTAAATCTGGCATGTTTATTAACACGTGACCTTGCTGACGAGGGTTCAGACGAATATATCGCTGTGCACAAAGCGCTCTACGAATTGGTTCGAGTTGTAAGTGCAATTGTCACATTGTAATCAACATTGTTTCATTTATCTACACAAATTGATGAATCTATTTAAAACCCTAATATTGAGAGACCATTACAGAATGTACATGGTAACCACAGGTTGCTTATTATATATATTCTTATTATATTTTTATTATATTCTATTTTAAGTTAATGTGTTCTTTTTAAATTTCTTTAAGACTTCATTGCAAATAGATTTATTGTAACGTCGCAGCTAGAGAAACCAATTAGTGGTCTATTTTAGGTGAAATACCCTGTGTATATTAAAACAGAAAAACTTGCAATGCATCTTAGTAGTTTCTTAAATATTTCTAATAAGCTATTCTTTCTTGTGACAGGCTCGCATAAAATTTTGTGGCTAACGGTGTATTTTCTTCAGGTTCCTAACGTGCTGCACGTAATTTGTAGCGGCCAAGACACGTTCATCGGCGAGTACGTGACTCCAGATTTTCTGTCCTCGAATTTAGCGTCGACTCTCATAAAAGTCGGTGCCGACGTTAACGCAAGAGACGCCGAAGGGAATACGCCGCTGCATTTTGTCGCACGTACGCACTTCTCGATATGTCGATGGGGACGACGTCTTGTTTTCACTCTCCTCGAAGCCGGTGCTCACATCGACTGCGTTAACAACAACGGTGAATCGTTCGAAACGTTGATACGCGACAAACGCTTGTACCATTCTGTGGAGCCCGTGAAGTACATCACGCTCGCATGCTTGGCGGCCAGAATAGTTAGGAAAACGTATAAGCTAGACCAAATTCCGAAGCATCTCCGATCGTTCGTTCAAATGCATTAATTACGTTAATGTACGCGAAACAGAATGTCACGCCGTTGTTTTTAATATGCCGCGAAAGAATTGAATTTGTTTACTAAAAACGAGAAGGAGTCGGCGATGAAGTTTTGCATCCTTTCGAATAGTAAACTTACGCTAGAAATACGTTTCTGAATGGGAAGTATGAAGTCTGCCCCCTCCCCGAGAGACCTGACAATTACTGTTCATGTGATAATACGATTAAAAACAGTGCACTTAATATAGAACGTGGTCCTAGAGTGACGTCCCCTTCGATATTCGGATTTCAATTCTTGCGAATCGTTGATACACATTAGTTGCATAAGTCGTATTTGCGAAAACTTCTAAAGAACGTGATAATCTTATATAAAAAGAATTTCAGATACTTGTTACAAACGACTTTTTTAAAAGTACAGAAATATTATATAAAATATTCTCGTGCATTGATACACGGTGATAAAACGGTGAAGTATATTGAAATCTCTGGAAGCAGAAATTCTAGGATATTACCTACCGGCATCGACTGTAATATCTTCGAAATATCGATCAATGTGATTTTATTATCGTATACTTGGCTGACAGCCATCTCTCTTATACGTAAAGCACATACGAGTATGGCGGAATGTATGTAAAATCAGAGAAAGTTGTGTAATTGTTGAACAAAATGATTTTATTTTCATTGTTGTATAAAAGAAATAAAACAGGAATAAGATCGCATGATATACGAATTTTTGTTCGTGTAGAACGATTTAGCGATTCGTGTGAAAATAATACATACGATTCCTCCCGTTGAGGACTGTCAAACACGCATTATGATTACCAAATTATTTTTTTTCTTCAGGTTGTTTATTATTTTGACAAATTCAATAGTTCTATGTGCATATTATGATTCAGATGTGCAGTTCATTTGTGAACTATTCAGTGACATCGATCCCTAAGTTTAATTTTATTCGAAATGTGATAAACATATATATATAATTATACAGAATTATACATATACATAAGAATCATGATAAGCAAAGTGTTTAAGTAAGGTGCTTTTTTTGAAAACAGTTACACACTTGCACTTGAGAATAAATAGCACGATTATAGGGAACATCGTAAATGAGGGGGGACGAGTATAGAATTTCATTGATAATGTTTTGCTCAGTTTAGTAATTTTATACTCCGTAAAAGTGTTGCGTCTTATAATCGCACTAATGTATACATGTATTTACGTATACACTACCATAGTTTTTCATGAGCGCTAGAAACCCTCCACAAAAAAAGTATCTTACGTTTAAGCCACTCAGTTTATTAACTGTTTTGTAATGTAAAGACTGTGAAAATACAGGTGTGATTAATAATACACTGATACGTTTATTTATTTTTATTTACTAATACAGCGTTATTCTAGAAAATAGCGTTAGTTTATTTTTAAAAATTAAAAGAAAACTTTATTTCTTCTAAAAACAATTAAAAATTTTATTTCTTTGAGTTACATGTAGACATTCGGTCGTTACATATCAGCCATTGTTGACATATTATCGATACAGAATAATTAAAAATTATCGTTATAAACCTGACTAATTAGTACCACTACTTCGCCACTAGATGATAATTATGTTCCCTTCCTACTGATTTCATTAAAGAACATAATGTACAATTAAAATCAGTATGAGACGCTTCAACGAAAAATACTACATTGAAACATACATTTGATTTGCATTTTATAATTAATGTCTACTTCTTTTAAACGAAACTTTTGAATAACACTTCATTGCCATCTGACGGTATAATAGTGATACTAATAAGTTAGCAGCGCCACTAGTCTACTTATCTACATACACATACATACATATATACTCGCCATTTTATACCGCAAAAGTAGATATTAATTAGAAATGCCGCAATTAACAAGTGTTACCGTAAAATATCAGGTTATAAAGAATCTGCAAATAGAGTGACATCACCGAAACAATATTTCATTTTTATTTATATGTTTTATTGTATATTTCAGAGTGCTTTACAGACCATTGAACATCATGACATAAGAATAAATTTTTATCTTAGCGATAGTGATAGTTGTATTCTGATATAATGTAATTTATGAGAAATGAATCTATATACCGCACTTATTGTATTTTCTATATATCTATATACAGAATGTATGTACAACAAACATGTTTCACAATTGCAGAAATTGCGTGATAATAAATGTTTTCAATATTGCTTCTTGTTCGAGAATCACCTAACATATTTGAAATTACATTTTTTTTTCGCAGCAGGAACTTATTTTTGGGTATAGTAGTTTCCGGTACGGTTTACCACTTCCGAGGTCGGCCATTTTATAAGACGCTTCGTGATCGCGTATGTTTGGATGCAGGGTGTCTTTTACTCTTTTTAGCTGCGAACTTTAGTATAAGTTCATTGTGTGATTATAAATTGTTTGCACAGTGAAAGAAGCCTCGACAATGATAAAACAAGAGGAGTAAGTATGAAATTTACATTTTTTTCAAAATTTAATCGAACGTATCTTTGTCGGCATGTGAAATCACGTATAATTAGAGTAAACCGACGCTAATGTGTCCGGATATATCGGCAACGTGATTTAGAGAATGAATATGCTTAATTACGTAGCTCCGATCAAAATTTACGCAGATTGTACGCTGGAAAAAGCTAACACAACCTGTGTTGTTGACGCAGTTGAAGATAACAGTTACCAAACATTATCTCGTATGTGATATTCCTATGTATATTTTAACTAATATTAGGAATCAAGTGCAAAATGATGAACGGGATCGAAGTAGAGAACGAGATCGCAATCGCAGATCAGACAGACAAAACCGCATAAATTCAACGAGTCGTGATCGGAGCAGAGAACGGAATGATCGAGGTGGCCGAAAAGCTTCGGATCGTCGGATTTATGTATCAAACATTCCCTGTGATTTTCGCTGGCAAGATCTTAAGGATCTTTTCCGGACCGAGGTTGGAAAAGTTGCGCATGTTGAACTTTTCACTGACGAAAATGACAAACCGAGAGGTTGTGGAATTGTGGAATTTGAAGATTTAGACTCTGTGAAAATAGCTGTGGAAAAAATGCACAGATATGATATTAAGGGAAGAAAGCTAGTGGTGAAGGAGGTAGTTAGTATATTATTATTTTTTCAGTCAACTTATATTTTGAACTACGTTACATATTCAGTATTAGAAACAGTTTCTAAAATTTACTCATTTTAGGACTTTGATATCGAACGTGACAAATATGGTCGGTTAGCCACTGCTCGTAACAATGATAGAATCCGTGATGACAGATTCAGAGATCCACCACGACCACAAGGAGGTGGACGACAAAATATGAATGTTCCCACTGGTGGTGGCGGTGGTGGTGGCGGCGGCGGTGGTGGCGGTGGAGGTGGAGGCGGCGGTGGCGGCGGAGGTGGTGATAATAAATTTGGAAATACTTATGGTTTAAGTACTCAATTTTTAGAATCATTATGCATTAATGGACCTTTAGTCACTAGAGTATTTGTGGCAAATGTAAGTTCAGTTTAACGTAAAGATTATATTAATTAAATAGAAAAGGTGAAGAGATGACCTAAATATTATGTACTGTATATTTAGCTTGATTACAAAGTGGATGAGAAGAAACTATTGGAAGTATTTAAGTTAGCTGGTAAAGTACTGCATGTTCAGTTAGGTAAAGACAAAGATGGGAAATCGAGAGGTTTTGGAGTTGTAGAATACGACCATCCTGTGGAATCAGTACAAGCTATATCAATGCTTCATAATCAACAATTATATGATAGACGTATGACTGTTCGACTTGACAGAGCAAACGAACCAGACGTGCCACCAAAGTTACCTGAAGGTATACATTCATCTTATTGCAATTCACATTAATATTCCAGTTGCAGGAATAAAAATAACCGTTAATCATGTAATAGGTTTAAAGGCAATTGGAATGGGTCTTGGAGCTGGTGGTAATAGATTAATGGATGTAGCTAGAAACATTCCTAATGTTCAAGCAAATAATCCCCCTGTTGTAAATCCTATTTCTGCCCCTGTGTTGGCTGCTGGAGCATTTGGCGCTGGTTTAAATAATGTTGTGCCTGCACAATTAGGTAAGTCTTCCATGTATTAAAAGTTTAAAGATCAAATTAAATTGTGATGTAAGAAAATAATGAAAAATTGATTTATATTAGCATCCGCATTGTCGAACACAAATGCTGCAGCTCTTCAAGCAAGTCTGGCTGGAGGTTTAAGCGCAAACCTGACCACCAGTTCTCTGCTGAATTCATCTTTGACAAATGAATTGGCATCTAATTTAAATAACTTCGGCGGTGGAGTCGGAGGTTTGTCTAATTTACAAGCCTCTTTAACTGGCGGACAAGGCAACAATTCCTTTGCGCCGCGAGGCTTATCTAAAATGGACAATGATGTAGGCTTCGGTGGAAACAATGCTTTCGGTGGTTCTAACTTTGGAGGTGGCAGAGATTTTGACGGTGGATTCAATAGAGGAGACAATGACCGCGGTCCCGGTGGCGGTGGTGGTTTCTCTGGAAATCAGGGCCAGGGAGGAGGTAGCAACAGACAAAATGCCAATGGTTCACGACCAATGTCTGATACCATTGTAATAGGAAATGTATGTATGAATTTTTTACTTTACATTTGTCGCTTCTATGATATGTGAGCATAGCTTCAGGAATGTTATAGTTACCTAGTAATTTGTGCTCATTTTATCATTATCTCTATTATATCTATTTTAAATTATCCTAAATGTATGCTCATATTCATAACATGCTTTGCATAAAGTCTAGTAGAAATTTATCTATGTATAAATTTCGTGTCGGATATAGTTACCACCAAACACCACGTGGCAAATGCTACGAGACAAATTCCAAGATGTTGGGGAAGTTAAATTTGCTGAGATGCGGGGAACCGACATGGGCATGGTTCGATTTGCATCTGAATGGGATGCTGAGCGTGCTGTGTGTATCCTTTAACAAACACGTTTATCCCGAGGCAAAATTATTTTTTTCTATATAGTGCATAATATCCGTGAGTATGTTTTGAAAATTTTGTCAAATAATATTCGAAAATTAGGATTGAAGATTAGGATATATAAATATTTTTAGTAGATTAGAGACTTTAAGGAATAGAAGTAAATTGTCGTCTTCCTTTCCTGTTGTCGAAGTTATCAGAGGTAGATGTTTCTCTTAGCTGTGTATACATATGTCATATATTATACGATAGGAATGATTTTGATATAATTTGCCACTGAAATCTATGGTGAGTCTAACAAATAGTCGAACGATTGAAAGATTTTCCTTAATATCACGTGTACAGCTATGATGAATCGAACGCGCATCGAGGGTAGAACGATTGATGTTCGCCTTTTCTAAAAAGTTGGGAACACATTTAAGGTAACATTATAGCAAACCTCTCTGCTGAGGTTGATGCTTAACCATAACTTATTGATGCGCAGCGAGAGGAGACTGGGTGTTCGTTTGTCGTCTGCAGGATTGTTCCGCTCCTGATGACAATACTTGAAATTCATCCTAGTTGTGTGGCAGAACGTAGGACAGTGGGTGAGAGAAGTATCTGTCGTTGGAAGATCAACAATCGTATTTTAATGCCTACTTCAACGTCGAAAAAATATTTATTCGCTGCCGGTGATCACCCTTCCTTGCTATGCAACTGTTTCAGTTTAAAAATTCTTTATTAGAGAATTATCGTTCCTTTTTACAGTGAAAGCTCCTAATTGTTCACTCCCGAAATCGAATACCCTTTCGTGTGATCGATACATAGTTTAATTGTTAGGCTTAGGTTCATAATGTTCAACGTAATCCGTAGGTTTTTTCAGTACTGTAGGTTTACACTATTTACAGTAATTATCAAAACGTAGTTTGTAAGTTTATTTTCTTAGTGTTTTGTGACGAGAGATCAATCGGTTTTCTCACATTCCGGTCGGAGAACATGTGACACTCTTGGTCGTGTTCGCGGACTGGTCAATCGATCCAGGTTAGACAGATTAATCTTTCAAGCATAAATACTGAACGCGATATAGCTGTTACGGGCTTTACGAGTTTAAAGTTTATGTATGTATGATAGATATTTTCATGTACAACAATCCTACGCAGCTCGTGGACGTGTGTCGGTTTTTCTGTGGTATCGGTCGCACTCTATTCTTGTATCTATCACATAACAAGGTACATGATGGCTCAACCAGGGGACTGTGTATTGTTTCCATTTGTAGTTCTGCGGTCTGATCCTTCTATTCGTCGCGCCACATCGTTCTTAGCAACTTGGAGATTCAAGTAGAGCATAAAAATTTTAGTTGTCATTAGGAAAGGTCCCTTCTTATAGTTCACTCGCTTTGAGACTTCGACGAACCAAGATTGGATGACCTTGTACACTCTTAAATTTGGCAGAATTGTCTTACGTATTGTGCATTAGAATATGTTTACCAAAGAATAGGTGATTCTCTAAATCATAGAGAACGAAAGAAAATTTTTAATAGTCTTTCACTGTCGAAAGATGCTGCACATAGGACAGAGGCTGTTCAGCTAATTTTATAAATTCCAATTTTTTGGTAAACATATTTCCTCTCGCCATGTAGATTTCGAGGAACATTCTGCGAATTGTATAACACTCTTGTATAACCACGACATCATGACAGTGATTGAATAAAATCCAAATTCGTTTTGACTACAAAAAAAAAAAACATGCTGGTCGTTGTGTTTTATTTCTGTGTTGTTGTGATTCTTTAATACTTTAAGCAGGTCAAGTGCTGTCGATATGCATTGGCAAGGAGAGAGAGATGCATCGTTTTGGCAACTTAAAACGATCTGCAGTCATGTTTACGCAGAATCAAAGTTCCAAATGGATCGCACTTTCAACAAAAATCTCTGCTTAAAGATTTACCATTCTATCTCTAGATGTAGATATCCCTGTTTACTTTTGAGACGTTGAAGTTCCACACTCCCTATGCCGAATATTTGCTTCTATCGCAGGTGAGAAACTTTTCAAACGATTGTGGTTCCTGTTTCCTCAGTACCGAACATGTTTCAAGAATGAATGATTTGCTTGAAATCTGTTTATCAAACATTTGTTCCTGTTGTGCTGGAACATCATCGTTCGAAGAATATTTGGATCTCTTTCTCTGAAGATTGTTAATTCAGAGTTGTAACTGTGGTTGGAAATAGTGTATTAACAGGATTCGGAGGAGTTTAAGATTGGCTGGTAATGTGGCATTTCGTTCTTTAACATTGTGGTTGATTCTTATTTATTGTAGCATTCAGAGTGTATTTTTCACATTTATTGAGACACTTCTGTCTAGTCTAAAGAATTGTGGAATTCTTTATGTTCGAAGTGAATTGATATATTATTAAAAAAATAAACTCCCTCTGTGGCGATTATATCTTCTATGATGGTAAGTGGTGGCAATTCTTTTTTTTTTAAATCAAGTCTTTGCTACAGTCATCAATGAAACAATTAATGCGTATTGAACCATATGAATTAACTGTCGTCGATCTTCACTTGTGTGGTTGCTAAATTTGTATCCTAACATTTCGAGGACGTTGTATCTTTTTTTTCCTTAATACTATCATTGACGTCAGATAGGGTCTTATTTGATAAGGCATGTGATCGTATGTAATGGGTTGACTATTTCCAATCGTAAGTGATCGAACATTCGTACTTTTGTTATTCCAAAATTGTTAGTGGAAGGATTTAATTGTTCCGACGATTGTCTCATGGTAGGGACAGCAGAATCTCTTCCTTGGTGTTATTGAAATTTATATATCGAAAGTGGTGCCTAAACATTGATTGTTAAAGGAAGAACGATGGAAGATATATTTGAGGAATTCAATTCGAATTACAAGAGGAGTACATTAAATAATGGGTGCATGTAAAAGTTTTGTTGGTTTAGATTATATGATGTAGTAAATGTCTTCAACATTTTTATTTTAGCAATTAAATTATCAACTGAATCTTTGTACAAAATTTTTTAAAAGTGTTCACTAAGCATATTCATTTGTTTAAGTTGTGCAGATTAAACAATTGTGCTGTTATTCACGAGAAACAAGTGAAAAATAGTATTAGAAACAAATGTCGAGCATTTATGTTAACGGAAATTTGTATGTTTTATTATTCACAATCAACAAACCTTTTACAAACGTATATTTTTAATATATAATTAATTTTTCTAATAGCGGCTACCATTTAATTGGAATATAAGGTAAGTTTAAAAATTTCAAAAACAGATTTTTATGTATATAATATATTGTTCTTTCAGGAAATCTATCTTGACTGACTGCAACATTTTTTTGTGGTAAGTTCTAAGGGTGTAATCCAGGATTAAATATATGACGAAAATAAATCGATTTAATTGTTTTTTATTTTCAGTGTTACAAATTTGCTAAATTGGATAGTCACAATACAATCTATTTTTTTTTCTTTTTTTTTGACACTGTTAAAGTGTTAGTGAAAATCTACAAAAGTGAGTGAATTTAATAGCTTCAAAAGAAATTCGTTTAAAAAATCGTGAATGAAGCATTCCAAAGATTTGCAGGATCGTGATACTTGGTGTTTA